AAAAATGGTATAACTGACACTTTAAGCAATGTGAATGCCTTCTGTTAGCTCCTGCAAAATTAAAAAACTTAATAACTTAGGTTTGGGTGGTCTTGGATCAAAATATGGTTACTCAGATTCACCAGACTCAGATACCCAACTGAAATTGGTCCTGCTTTCTGCTGGTGCAGTCCGGGTAAGAGCTGGGGCCTGAAGCTCTAAGGCCAACAAGGTTCAGGTATTGAGAAATACTTGAGTTATATTTCACTTTCACTAAAGCACACTGTGTGTAGAGAAAAGAAATCACAAACATAGCTAATTCCTCATTCCTCAATTTTCCTTTTCTATTGTAATTGAATTTGCCCACAAATGGCAGTGTAACTATCCCCACTGCACACTGTAACAAAGGTACAGAAAGCAGTCAAAACAAGAAATTTTCCCTACTTTAGCAATCTGCTAATCCAAACATTCCCACAAAAAATATGGAAATGGCTGATTCTAGTCACAAATTTGGTCATGATTGGCTGTAGACAAAATACATGAAAAATCTCTATTTCTGCAGCTAGTTGAAACCAGGGATGGATTTCTTTGTGCATTATCTGTGGTGCTGGCCCTCTGCCTTTTAGTGTTGTTGTGGTTTGGGGATTTATTTCCATAACTCATTTATCAGTTTATTGCCTATGTTTGCTGGAGGATATACAAGCAACTTGAAATTCTCAAGTCCATCTAAATCTTGTATCTAAGCACTAACTGCTAACATACTAAGAGAGGACCAAGCACTCCTCACAGCTCTGTAGGCGTTTGGTCCATACTGAGCTCTGTGTTTCTTCCTGTACCCAGGACTCCCAAGTCCTTATGTCTTTAGGGTTTTTGAAGTGACAGTAATTCCAGAGCCAGAGGGTGGATGAGGTTGGAAGGGACCTCAGAAGACTGCCTCATTCAATCCCCTCCTCAGGACTGCGTCCAGTTGGGTTTAGTATTTCCAAGGATGGAGACTCCACAGTCCCTCTGGGCAGCCTGTTGCAGTGTGCAGTCACTCTCACAGTAAATTTTTTTTCTTATATTTAAGGGGGATTTCTTGTATTTCAATTTGTGCCCATTGCCTCTTGTCCTGCCACTGGTCACCACTGAGAAAAGCCTGGCTCCATCAACTCCACTCTGCCCCATCAAGTATTTATACACCCTGGTAAGATCCCCCTGAGCCTTCTGTACTGCAGGCTGGACAGTCCCAGCTCTCTCAGCTTCTCCCTATACGTCATGGCTCCAATCACTTAATATTCCCCACGGTCCCTCAGTACATCCAGTCCAGTAAGTCCCCATCTGTCCTGTACTGGGGAGCCCAGCACTAGCCATGGCACTGTGCATGTCTCACCAGTGCTGGGCAGAGGAGAACCACCTCCCTCGACCTGCTGGAGACACTCTGCCTCATGCAGGTGAGGAGGCTGCTGGCTGCCTTTGCTGCAGGGACACACTGCTGGCTCACGGGCAGCTTGTCCCCCAGAACCTCTGCCAGGCTCCACCAGGACCCCAGGAATGCTGCGCAGCCTTGCTGGTCTGAGACAGAAGTGAAGCAAATGAGGGAGAAAGAGGTCTGGGCCAAGTCAGAATGCTGGAAGAGGCAGACAAGAAGAATCCCAACAGTGAATGAACATAAAAAGCCACCAATTGAGGAGATCAGAAGAAATAATTTCTAATGAAATATATAAATAATCTGTGGAACTGCCCTGAGCTACTCTTGAAGCAAACACCACAAATCTCATGGACTATCCAGGGACACTCCAGCCAACAGGGAACGCTTCTTCAGCTTTAGTGATAGAATTGCAAATCTAACAAGTAGAAATCGTTATCCTTCAGGACAGGGCACATGGCTCATAACCTGCCTAGACAAAATACCCGATTATATTTGATTAAGTTTTCACATTCAAGTCAAACAAATGATCTCCTCTACAACCCCACAACACGTCCACTCCCAGAGACAAGGTCTTGCACTTGATGGACCACTGCTCTCATCTTCCAGGCAATTTTTGTGCTACTCCTGCCTTTATTGATTCAGGCTCCCCATATTCATTAAAACAAGGAATTAAATCTTGTACTCTTGAACAGTGCTACAATATATCCTCCAGTATTGCCGCTCAACAGAACCAGCCACTGCCAGAACCCTGGACCCAGCCACCAGCGGGGTGCGAGGGGGAGCAGCACAAGGGGGCCGTGCCTTGCACTGAAGCTGCCAGGATTCAGCACAGGCCACCTGAGCCCACTCTGCCAGGATCCACCGAGTGCTTATTTATTGATATTACTGATATTAACTAATCTCTGGGAAGTCCTCACTTTAGACGTGACCTGTTCATTTTACCCATTCTTAACCAATACACATGATTGGTTTTTGCTTTTAGTTTATTACACAAAAGACACATAGCTTCAGATACATGCGTGAGCTTCTTCGCTAGAAAAGGCTCTAAAAATTGCCTTCCAAACTACTTGGAAGAGCACATATTTAACAAGGTGACAGTGTATTTGCAGAGGTGTGGATCTAGCCCTGTTATAATTATTTCTTCAAGCCCTTGTTTTAGCAGCAATGTTTAACTCCTACATATATCCTGAAATATTCAAATAAACACACAGATAAATATAATAAATAATAGATTATAAGATAATAATAAAAGAAATGCTTTACTCAACAAAAGATAGACACAGTGATATCAAATGGAGGGTTACACCAGGCAGTGTTAGCAAGGTGCCCTCTGGCAGAGAAGGCAAGCCCCACATCCCTGCAGCCAGCACTGGGCGAGCGATCCTTCCCCTCTGCTCAGTGCTTGCGTGAGCACATCCAGAGTGCTGGGGCCAGTTCTGGGCTCTCCAGCACAAGACAGACATGGATACACTAGAGCATGGTCCAGCAGATGCCACCAGCATGGTCAGGGGCTGGAGGAGATGCACAGGGAACAGGTGGTCAACACTAAGGAATCCAGCATTTAGCAGTGATTGACTTCTACTATTTAGCTCACAGGCAAAGAACAATTTCAGATCGTATTCCAGGCCAGCACTTATTAGTGTTTCATTGCTGACAAGGTGAAGTGCTCTCAGTCAGTGTAAAACACACCAAGCAGCCCAGAGGCACGTGCAGCAAATATGCCTCTGCCACTTCTGTTTGGAGATCTGGGGGATCCTCTGGGCATTGGTTCCTCTAGGAACATCTGTAACTGGCTGAAGTCAGCTGAAAACAGCACTGTTTTCTGTAATTCTCTTTCCTGACAGGTAACTAGTGACTAAAAGGTGTGAAATTCTGTCCTGGCTTTGAAATAGCCAAAAAAATCAAAGGAATTTCCTTCAGTTTTCTCTCTCCAACTGGGTGCCCTACTAACCAGCAACACCACATGGATAATGCATCAGAGCCAAGAGGAGATAACTCTGGAAACACAAGTTTTGATAAATATAGCTGAACCACCACTGCCAGCAGGCAGCAGCAAGATTGAATCCCACTGTAAATGTTCAAATGTGTGACCAGATGCTGGACCTTTACTGCTCATGAACTCCAACAAAAAGAATTTCTTCCATCCACTACAGAGGTGAACCAATTGCAAGACAACAAAGTAGTAGAGAACAGATACTGTTCAGCTGAAAATTATCTACATGTAGTGGAAAACAGATCTAGCTCCCAGGTTTGTGGCAGGTGGGTAAGACACCCTTCGGTATGAGAGCAGCCACCATGCACCGTGATCAGCTCTTGCATACTTCAGTGCCTAAACATGACACTCTCAGCTTCAGGTGTTACTCAGTGCTTAGACAATTACACAGTAATGCTTGTGTGATAAATAATATCATACGCATCCCAGACAGTTGTGCAATTATGGTTGCATTATAACAACACAGAAAGATGAACTGTAAACCAGGTACACACTCTAATGTAGTATTTCACCCTACCCTACCTGTCTTGTACCAGAACACAGAATTTTACACTTGCTTACAAACCTGCCACAATCAATCCCCTGCAAATCCCTTCCCTATTTCTCTTTAGAGTGATTACTTGATGTTCAATTATTTCCTAAGAACAATTTTAATTTAAACTTGCTAGAAAATCCATACCAACTTGCAATTCAAAAGTATTTTTATGAACTGAGCAACAGATCCAGTGGAAACAGAGACCTATCTTAGAAATACTGAGAGACTGTTAAATGCAGAGGTTCTGGCAAGGAGTACTTCCAAAGAGCAGAAAGACTTGCTGAAGTTAGAGAGTCTTTCTTTTTGTTTTCTAAACAATGCTCATTCTGTATGGTATGGATGCACCCCTGACAGTGCTTTCAACTTTCTGCTCAGCAGCACCCTGGAATTTTTGAATTAACCCTGAAGGAAACTGAGCAAAGCTCAAGGAAACACTACACAAACCAGATTCTCCTGAAAAATCATCATTTCACAGTCAATATTTATGGATTTAAGAACTGAAATCCCTGGAATTGCTGCTTACTTTCTCTTTTTCACGAGCTTCTCCTCCTCTCCTTCTTAATGAAAACATCCTGATTTTTTTCTTCCCTTGATAATCTTTATAAAACACACATCATTAGTACTGCACACTTGGTGTTGGATTACTGAATATGCAACACTGACTCTAACAATACTTTCTGAGAAAGAAACCACAAGGTATTGCAAAGAATTTGCTATGCATCTACATTTTATTCCCTCCTCAAAGGGTTTATAAAGCATGGGATTTGGAAATAAACAGGTCTCTTCTGCAAGTGCTCTGCATATGGAGCCACTGAGTTTCTCCCCCTCGTACATGCCTGTATGAAGGATTACAATATTTCAGATGCTTTTCACCCCCCAAGCCCCTCCACAGCAATTTCCTCATGCCCACACATTTCCTCCACCACCTCACATCCCACACTCCTCCGCAAATTACACCTCACATAAACATTGTTGGGTTACTTGTAAGTGGCACATGTTCATTTTCTCCTCCCTTCCTAATATAAATTTCTCTCCTAGCAAATATACAGAAAGGACAGGAAAAGCAAAACAAGAGGTCTTACCTTTTGATGGTCTTCTTTGTTTCGTTTGTAGAGAAGAGAACGTACCCATTACAGCACCCATTGCAAAAGCTACTTGTGAGTTTTTGGGGAGGATTTATTTTGGCTGTATTTTTTTTATTCTTCTCACCCCAACCCCCCACCGCCGGTGAACAAAATCTACGTGAAATGCCCCCAAGAACAAAACAAAACAGAGGAAGTAAAGAGAAGAAAGAAAAGAAGAAAGGAGGAGGGAAAAAGCAAAGCACTGCAGCTCAGCGTTCAGCAAGCGTTAAGCTTTGAGGTTTTTTTTTTTTTTTTAAGTCAACACACATGCACTGACTCACAGCCGGCTGCACTGTTATTATTCAAAACAGCTCCCCATCAAAATTTAAATGCTAGGTAGATTCCCTCAGACCAGAGCTGGCAGCAGATGCATCAAAATATTTACTGGAGCACAGCCACATAAACACACAGGCTAATTCTTCCTCCCGTTCCCTTATGGCTCCAACCAGCAGCCTGTAGGTCTAGCGAGGGAGCATCAGCGCATCTCTTCCAGTGAATACTAAACTGGAGTCCTGTAGACATGCTGAGGGTCTCGGGGGGAAGCTAGGGGTTTGGGCTGGGTACCAATTCGGAATGAATGGAAATCTGAGTGGGAAATGATAGTGAGTGAGGCATCAAAGCCCCAGCTGCGCAGACTGCTTGCTCCTGCTAATTAAGAGTCTGACAGAAAGGTAGGAAGCAGTAATCTCTAACAGTCTTCTCAAGCAGAAAAGTCAGGGGGAAATAAGTGCAACAGGGGAACACAGAAAATTTCACCACCATCCTTGTCCTTCGCATCCTTTCTGATGCACCAGAAGCATGTGCAAGACAGTTGTTAATAACTTATTCTTCTGCAAAGTACACACCCTATTTAAGGATAGTAAAACAAAAACCTGTTGAAACAAAATTCTGCAAACATCCAGTGACTCAAAGGAGGTGGGACAATTCCCAGCATTTTTAGTTCTGTCACATTTTGAAAAAACAGCTACACATCTTGTTATGCTTTCTCGGTGAAATAGTAAGAGTCAAGTACAGAAAGAGTTAAATATACCGACGTAGCTGTCAGAACAAGAATTAATTTGCTATTTGCACACGGGGACTGAGATTAAGGCAGCATCTGTGCAAATACTGTATTTGTCTGAAGAAATTAATTCCTACACCAGAGACCAAAGCACCTTGCCTCAACAGGTTTCCCCAGCTTTCCTCTAACTCCGCAGTAAAGATTTCATCAAACACAGATCCCAGAGCCCCAGGATCAGAACCTGCACAGCACTGGCATCCCTGGAGATAAGCCCCCACGTTACCTTTGCTCACACGCTGCCAGCAATGCTGCCTTCCCATGCACAGGTGTATTTGCATCTCTAGTGTATACCAGCTAAGAGCTTTCAATTAGTTGCTAGTTGCAAAAGGCATTACACAGAATAATTTGTGTTTGGTTGTTTTTTTTCTTGTATTACAACTCAAAATACACCAATTGAACTTTTCCTGAGGAATGTCTGAGGTAAAGTCCTGTTTAGATGCCAAAGGCCTGAACCGAAACATATCAGGTTGCAGACAGGTGCAATGTGCCCAAGACTTGGACCACACCCGGCTGCATTGTCACCTGCCAGGGAGCTTGTCCTGGCCTGTGCAACACTACAGCACCCCACACCCCCCCACTCCTCCCCCAGACTGGCCATGGCTGTCGCCCCACAGTCCCTGGGCTAACAGGCTTCTCTAGCCACTGGGATACAGATGGGGGGTCCCTCAGACTAAGGTGATCTCCATGAGACACTGCAAAGCTACATGAGAGTCTTAAGCTCTTTATTTAAATATTTATATTTATTTTATGAATATTTTATTTGTGTTTACACATCTGAATATTAGATAGGCTACAGCACACGTATCATTGCTCTTGGTATTTGTGCACACAGCAAGTGTTGGAGGATATCTAGAGGCCAAGGGCAGATGTGCCCTCATGTCACAGTGGCCGCTTCATGCCACAGTTGACAAGATGAGAAACCAGGAGGTGAGGATGTGCCTGGATCTGTAATTTCTCATGCAAACAGGGAGCAAAGAGAGATGGTGAGGCTCCTGTTCGGCAGGCTGGGTTTGCACCCCCTTTGCCACCTCAGCAATACATCACTATCTTTTCTGGACACAGGTGGAATTGTAAGCCAAAACCATGACACTGCTGTGCTCCTCCAACTGAGCAGTCACCCCTGGATCAGGCCTTCGCCAGTGGGTGAGGGCTGTGGTGGTCCTGCCTCTCTGCAGAGAAACTCTCAGCACCATCTCTGAACTCCTCTACTGGCATCAAGACAGCTTACAAGCATCCTCCCACCAAAAGCAACAGCTGCCAGTGGGACGCTGTTCTCCCCTGTCTTCTGCTCCCAGGCATGTCATCTTCAAGACGTCAAAAATGGAAACCTCCTCAATCTAGGCAAAGTTGTCACTAGCGGAAGCCAATAATCCGGAAGCTCCTGTCACATCGTCCACTTGCAAAACCATACGGCAGTTGACTCATGCATTGGGAAACAGCACTTAAGAGCTCCAAAGTACACAGTTGCAAAGAACTACATGGATTATCATAGAATCCTAGAATAATTTAGGTTGGAAAAGACCTTGAAGATCATCTAGTCCAACCATTAACCTAGCACTGCCAAGTCCACCACTAAACCATGTCCCTAATTGCCACACCTATACATCTTTTAAATACCTCCAAGGACAGTGGCTCACTCAAACACTTCCCTGGGCAGCCTGTTCCAGTGCTTGACAACCCTTTCAGTTAAAGAAATTTTTCCTAATACCCAATCTAAGCCTCCCCTGGCACAAGCTGAGGCCATTTCCTCTCATCACTTGTTACTTGGGAGAAGAGACACCCACCCACCTCACTACAACCTCCTTTCACCAAAAAGCACCTAGAAAGTATCTAGCTTCAGGATTCCTCCCGACATCAGCTGAATCCCAGCCACACAGAAAGAGCTCGGCCTGGGAGTGACAGATTAGGCTGTCCATATGGTGAGATACCCTAGAAAAAAGTAATTTAGGAAGATAAAATTGCACCCCTGATGCTGCACTGTTGTTTACTTGAAACAGCATGGTATATTAAAGCAGAGGGCAAATATGAATATTCTGTTTTCTCTGAGACTTGAAAGAAAAAAAGACGTCTTGGCTGGAAACCAGTATTGACAGGTCCCTACGAAATCACAGGGATTAATGGTTACATGCATTTTTGCTTGTATGATTCAACTACAAAAACGGGGACAAGAGGAGGGACCATATCTGTGTCTGGGCAGATGAGCACAGAATCCCAGATCACCAGTTTGAAAGCAGCCACTTTCTCTCACAGCCAAAAATTAAGATCTCAGAGGAACAGAAGCATCATAAACAGTAATGAATTAGGGTATTTGCCACAGCAGCCAAGAATTCTCTTTCCTCAAAGATAACCATCCAAATTTATCAACCTAAGATATAATGCTTGAGATATAACAAGTGCTGATGGTCATCCTTTATCCGAGGAGCTGTATATTTTTCAGAGTATTTCCTTTAGAGGTAAGATGAAGACTGAGCTCTGACTGTGATGGTGAACTGCACGGTTCTAGCAGCATGGGTACCTGGGTAAGAGCTGCCATCAGAGGATCAGAAGTACCCCGGGGAAAGGAAATAGCATACTGCACTGAACCTGACTGCAGCCCCCAGTACGAGCCCAGCTGCTGCTCACTTCCCAGTGCAGTGAGAAACCCCAGCTGCACACCCTGGGGCTCTCTCACAGCACCATTTACACACAGTTCTCAAGCATTTGCTTGCACAGCTGAAGGTATGTACCGCTTCATGATGCCTGTGCCATGCCTAACCTGTCCACTTTCCCACAGAAAGTTCACCCAACAGGTGACTCGTGTGACTGTCCCAGCAGTCACCACTAAGGAGGGGAGAGACCCCTGCGGGAAAGGGCCATGAGTGCTTCACGCAGGCGACGGGCAGACACACACACTAGGCACGCAGGGATACAGCAACGCAAGAGGAGCGTCCATCGCGGGGTGCCTCTGCCCCAACAGAAGCCTGTGTACATACTCAGCCAAGCACTCAACGCTGGGTGCCTGAGCTAGATCAGTAGAGCAGATGTGCCCCGGCAAGTCACCACTAATCCATCATTATCGTCTGACTCCCCCCTTTTACCACTATATACCATGTTGTAATAAATTCTACCAACAAAACCATGATCTAATACCATTCACTGACCCCTTACTAATTTCTTTTTGCCTCTTAATTCTATACTACTGCTTTTAATAAGCATCTCTGAGACTCTGAAAGATCAGAGCAAAGTAGACAGACACCAGATCAGAGCAAAGTAGAAGGACACTGGCAGTGATGTAGGTGCTTATTTGTTGGATGTAGTCAAAAGGTTTGGTCAGAATAAGTAGTTCATTATTTTTAATAAATGCAAATATAGCATCTTCAATTAGGGAGTCCTATCACCAGCTAGCTGATAGTGGTATGGGATGAAAATCTCCTGGGAGCAAGGTCACAGGGATCGGTACAGGTCTGCTCTCTGGCACAGGATCAGGTCCTCTTCCCTCTAAAGACAGCTGGTGCAAAATGCAGCCAGACCACACTTTCATTATATCTGTCCTCAACTGCACATTTCTGGTATTTTTGTGGGTATATACAGGAAAGTAGAGGGGGAGGTTGGTTTTTTTCATCATGCAGAAATGTGGACCACTGCCAGGAGAAAACACCCTCCCTAAACACAGTGTCTAGGGATGTAATCTCTGGTTTATCAGCCTCTCCTACAAGGCAAAGCTGGCAATGCCAATCTGTAGGACTAGCAAGGGAATGCCTCAGACATACCCAGATTTTAAAAACTTAAAGCACTGGTAAAATTAATTCTGACTTATTTTTTTGTCTCCCAATATACAGCAATGACCATTTGCATAGTAGGAACACAAATAAAACCTGAAAACTGCCTGTTTATTGCAAGCCCTTGTCATTCACTCTATATCTACCATCTGTGAGTGGTTCCAGATAGGTTCTGCTTTAAAAAGCCTAAACAGAGCTGGAAGTGGCTGATTCCTTTTCCCTTCTGGGTATTTCAGGAATGAGATCTAGGCAGCATTGGTCAGAGTTTCTCTCTATGTGCTTAAGATTAAAGGAATTTCATTTTTCATATTCCAGTAATTAACACTTGTTTCAGGGAAGCATTTTACGTTTTCAACAAGGAGTGCTTCACTTTAAGGCAGAGGTGACTTCCCATTCACCTGAGCAGCTACTGTTTTTCTTGAGGCTGAATGTAAATTGAGTCCTTCCGACAAGCAACTGAGAGTGTATAAGTAGCAGCCTGGGAGCTGGGATGACACCACATGAGCACTGACACAGACATGCCAGGACTCCTGCCTTCAGCTGTATCCACTCTACTGTGGCCTGGTCAGATGTTCGTAGCTGGGACCCATCGAGACCAGCCCAATTACCGCTCCGTGTTCTGGCACAAAACCACCTCCAGCCATGGCAACAAGCTGAGGCCCCCCAGCAGCACACACACTGATACTCCAGGCATGGATTCCTCCATGAGGGATGGCAGCCAGAGGGGAGCCGGAGACATGAATT